AACAACAACACCATTTTCATATACGATTTCATCAGCTGGTTTATCAAGCATATATGTTCCACCATAAATAGCACTTAGACTAAAAAAAAAAAAAGAAACAATTTTGTCAAAATTCAGAAAAGAGACGAAATCTAAACTGTCACTCGTCAGACGCACTAATATAGGCCACGATGAGATCAGTAGAAGCCTATAAGGATTCGTTTCTATGCATTATTCTCAACTCAAGTTATTACAATTTTATAGAATTTCTTATCTCTGATAAGATATTCATCAAATATTGAAGTACGAAGTTTTGATCTTAACCTTTTAAAAAAACAGAAAAATAATATCTCGTATCTACGAAACAATTATCTAAATTCGACTAGTTAACGACAAAATATCAATTAGATTATTATACATTTAGACATCATTAAATGCACTATTAAAATCAATAGCAAGAGATAATTAATTCAAAATATTCTTCTCTATAATATTTATTTACCGTGCAAAACCTTGTGGTAATTCACCAAGTCCATAAAGTGGATAAAGATAAGGTGATTTACCATAACGTGCCAATGATTCACTGTATAATTTAATTCGTTTAATTGATTCAAGAGCTGGTTTTTCCAAATAACTAAATAGCAAAAAAAAAACAAAAAACAAAACTCGATTATAAACAAATGTTTTCTTTTTTTTTCTTCTAATCTTATTCATTTACTCATCATCACTATGAAGTGCTAATGCATGACCAGTAAAATCAATTGTATCTTGATCAAGACCAAATTTTTTAAATGCATCAATCATACGTGTATGTGGTGGTATATCTTTATATGTTTTAGGATCTTTTTCATCATATTCATTAATCCATACAAGTAAATTACGAAAACGACGTTTTTCAAAAAGACCCATTAATGCTAAAATATATAGATTAAAGAAAAATTTTAATAATTAATTCTTTTTTTTCTTTTTTTTTTGTTTATCTTACATGATGCAAGTGCTTCACGTTCATCAGCTGGAACTTTATGAATTTTTTGTCCTTTGTATACATAACTACCTTCAATACATTTAAATTCTAAATAACGTGTTACACCTGTATGAATTAATAATTTCACCAAAAGACCTATGATCAAAAAAAACAAGTTTTTTTTTTTTTTTGTTTCTTTTATTTTACCATTGGCCATAAGAAATTTTGGAATTAAATCAACATTCCAATCACGACCACGTCCTGTATCTGATGGTGGTGGTGGTAAATTAAATTTTGAATAAAGCTTATAAAAATTTACATATAAACAAAAATACATAATTTAATAAATTAAAAATATTATTTATTTACATCTTCTAATGGTGTCATTGATGCTGATTCACCACCATAATATTTATTACGATCCATATGTAAAATTTTCTTGCCGGCTACACCAAGTAAACCAGCTAATACACATTCCTATAGAATAATAAAAAATTTTCATGTTTTTTTTTTTTTAATAAAATTCTTTGATTTTAATTTAATACCTTTAAACCAGTACCTAATAAGATAACATCATACTCTTCATCCATGATATAATATATTTTTTTGGGATGATACGAGAGAACAAAAAACAAAAAAAAAATAAATAAATAAATAGAAGATTGAATTGACTAGTTGGTCTAAAAGAATGATAATGATATATAAAAATAACATATAAATAATAAGACGATATAGAAACGCGTCAATTCTTGAAGGTAAGTTAATGATATGTTTACTCATTATCGTCAATATAACTTTAGCACAGGTGTCGAAACAAGTAGCGACAAATGCATTATTTTAGCACACTTTTAATCTTGATTATTATTTTTGTCCTTTTTATTAGGGCACTAAGTATTCAATTTTGATTGGTATCAGTTATTTCAAAAAAAAATAAAAACAAACGACATCTTTAAAATAATATAAAAATAAATCATTATGAAAAATTACAAATTAAATATTTCTAAAAAAAAATTAATGTTTTTCAAATGAAAAATATTTTAAAACAAAAAAAAAATTTATCTAATTGTCGCTACTATCAATGATACAAGTTCTGTCCAGTGTTCTCATAAAATGATGAATTATATTATATTGCTGATGATTCTCTCAAAAAAATCGAACTTAATAATAATAAATCATCATGAAGAAAAAAAAAACCCTATCGAAACATATTACCCTTGTATATCTTTCCATATGTCAATTGCATAATATTATATTCTAATTACAAATTATCTTGATTAGATTAAATAATATTTTTCTTCAATGAAAATGATTTACTAATGAAATTCGTTCAAGTTATAATAAATGAAATATATTTAAATATCAATCAATTGAAATTTAATGAAATATATTGAAATTCGAATGTAGAAATTCATTTGACTGAACTTTTGCTAGTTTTAATCATTATCGAAATTAATTATTGAGTTCCGATCGGAAATAAAATTTTTTCCTATCGGAAATCTTACAAATTCGAATATTAAAATTTAAATACAAGAAATAATAAAATTTATATATATTTATACAATATTACCAAAAGGAAGATTTCAATTGTACTCTTTTTTTATCATTAATATTATCATATAATTTTAAAATATGTACAGCTAGATATTTTTTTTTTATTTACTTTTATTGCATGAAATATAAATTTGATTTTTATTATCTCTATTTAATATTTTTCTGATGAACAGTTAATACATCAATTGAATTCAATGACAATCGTAGAAGAAAAAATCATCATGGTAGAAATATAAAAAAAATAAAATAAATGAATTATTCGAAAATTTTTTTTTTTTGTTTCTATTAGAATCAATTAAACGATAACAAATCAATCATAAAAACAATACAAAATTAATGATGAAAATAGTCTAATGGTAAATGAAAAGTTTTATGAATTAATTGGTTACTTGTTCGATACTATTCATTGTCCATTAAAATAAAATTGAGTCAATGATTATATCTATATTTTGATTTCTCGACTATTACTGAGAGAATCTTTTATGTATTAGCTCAGTATGAGACTCAATTTATTTATTATTAAATTTAAGATATAATAGTTCAAATATGTTTTTGAATAAAATACATAATAAAAAAAAGGAACTAGATTGAAATAGAAATAATAAATTTTAAATAAAATTATTCTATAGAATAGATTTTTTGAGTTTTAAAAATCGATTTTCCCAATTGAATTTTTTTAATCTAATTTATTAAAATAATTATTATGTCAATGAATTAGAATATTATTGATTTCTGTGTATTAGCAAAGCACTAAACATCATAAAGTTCTAATATTAACTTCATATGTTAAAAATAATGATAAATCTATAGAATATTGTTTAATATATTGTATACAATAGTCAAGAAAGTTAATGCACATATGATAGAGCCATGTATTAGTTTGATAGATTCATAAAATATATCAAAGTTTTCAACATCTTCCACAACAAATAATCATATCTTCATTATGAAGTCGAAGATTTTTCTTCACTTTCAATAGTTATTTTCAACATTAAGTAATTTCTTTTGTGAAGGTTATTGCTTCACCATTATTTTATTTTTGAGTGTAAGGTAGATTGATAAGTTTTTCTTTTGAGAATTGAAATACAATAAAAGTCAATGGTGATGTGTGTGTTTTTTTTTAAGTGCATATATTTTGACACAAATTGTAAATTTTTTCTGAATTGTACAAGTGTTATGCAGTACAAAATGTGAGTATGAAAATAATGAGTAATTGAAACAAAATTAAAGAAAATATTCATTTACTTCTTAGTGTTTTTTTTTTTTTCTTTTGACAAGAATTAAACGAACATTTTGTTCTCTTTTACCTGTTAAGAAGCACTAAATGTATTTCATTTGAATGAAATAAAAAAAAAAAACTTTGTTCCTCTTATATTCTTAATTAGAAAAAAAAAAATTACATTGACTTCAATTTTAATGATAAAGTAGTTTATAACTGAAATTTTTTTGTAATTTAATCTAACGAATGTTTTTTGTATGGGTTATAAAGTTTAGTGTTCGAAAATTTTTTACATAGGATTTCTTTTGTAAATTACTTTTCTTTTATTCGATATTTAGAGCTTTACAACAAAAAATATAGAAGGAAGAAAATTTCTAAGGAATCGAGAATACTTTTATAGTTAAATACTATTTACTTTACATTTTAGATTTTATAAGCGTTTTTTTAATCAAACATGACAATCTTTTATCAGTAAGGAAATTTTTCTTTTTTTTTTTGTCTGATTTTTTTATTATTTCTTTTTCTATATAAATAAATTTTATTAAAAAATGTACTTAATCATAGTCTACTATAGACAATGGATTATTTAAATTTCTATATATATATATATATATTAATGTTATTATTTAATTAATTTTTATTAGATATTAATTTCTATACATATTAAAAGTAATAATGAATGGAATAAGATTAAAATTATGTAAAATTTTATAGAATAGTAAATATGATATCACAAAATTATAACAAAAGAATACGAGTAAATATGTAAGTAGAATATATTTTCTAGTGTTTAAATTATTAACACTTGAAAATTTATTAAAATATTAGATAATTATTTAATTAGTTGAAATATTTATCATAAATTTATTTTATTTCATATTTCTTTAAAAAAAAAATAAATGCGATATATTTGTACTTTTAATAGAATGACTGATTATATTTCTTTTTATGTTTTTTTTCATGTTACTTTCATCTGTGTACCTTAGTTTTTTTTTTTTTTCTTTTCTTACTTATTCTCTTGACTACTACTACAAACTAATACAAATATTCATTCATAGTCATAATTTTTAATCGAATATAGATTGATGATTGTATACTTTAATTCTTTTTTTTTTCGAGGTATATTTTATCGGTAAATGTATATCAATATCGATCAACTTATTTTTTTTTTTATGAAAGAGTAAAAGTATATATTTGAATAGAAAAAAAAGTAAAAATAAGAGAAATAACAGTTCTACTTTTTTTTTTTGCTTCTCTTTTCTTAATTTATTATTTTTTAGATGCTCCATGTTCAGGTGGATAACATGTCCTTGTCAGCAACCATTATATTATCGACGTTCTATTATATTTCCATTAATTACATTTATGATAACAACTGGTCTTCTATATGGATTTGTTGAACATTATACAGTAACAACTCATTTAATAAATTCAGCACTATATTCAAATGTATAATAAATATATTTTATTAATATACAATAAAAATTCATTATATTTATTCTTTTTTTTATTTTTAGTCTACGTTTTTTAATTTACAATGTAAATTAAAAAATGAAACTATACGTGCTATTAATTTAGCTTCGAATGATTATTGTAAAAATTTACTAAAAAATATTTCATGTAAAATTGATTCAAATCCAAATTTTTTTCCGAAATCATTACCACGTTTTTGTCCTATTCAAAGTAATAATAATAATAAGATCTTTTTATAATCTATTTGAATATTTTTTACTATAGAAGGTAATTTTGGTGATGTTATTGGTTGTGTATCAAGTGATGAAAATTCAACACATCATATAAACAAGTCACAAATATTTGATAATGATATTATGTGTATTGATTATTGTTTAAAACATAGTGTATCTTTTGCTGGTAAAGTTTCATTCAATAGTTAAATTGTACAAAAGAACAAAATAGTAAAGTATTTCTAAAAATAAGATAATGTAGGAGAAATGTCTGAAAACTATTTTCTTCTTTTTTTTGCTGCATACTTATTTATGATGTTTTATAATCATAAATTACTCAAAAAAATTGTTCTATAGATCGAATTTCTTTTATAACCTTGTAATTTCACTTAAGTTGCTCATTTCTTTTTTGACAGGTATTATTGACATATGTGCACTTAATATCGATTTGTAATATATAATAAAGATTAAGAATAGGACAGATTTTTTTTCTTGTCTAATATGTACTATAGAATTATTTTCAAATTATGATTGACAAATCCAAATTCTATAGACTTTCGTGTTATCAAAAAAAAAAAATATTGAAGTCTAAGTGTAGAACCTAAAATCCTTCTCATACAAAATATATCTCAATAATATATCTAATAAAAGCATGATGAAGAAATATATGTCATAATAGATAGAACAAAACAATCTTTCTGTAATTAACATCAACAACTATCTAATGGGAATCAGACATTTCACACCATCTTTTCATTACGATCTTCGGACATAAGACAGGATGTTCGGAATGACAAAATCAATCAAAAATTTAAAAAAAACAGGGTGTTCATAATGAAATTTGTCCAGGACAAAAATCATTTCCGAATACTCGGACACATGACAGGAGTTTGGAATGACTTACGAGGGAACATTCCCAAGTGTCCCATAGTTTTTGAGTTCGGACTCTATGCATAAGGTAGATCCCAGTGATGTATGAAAAACCCCAGAAGAATAAGTGCCCTTAGGCCTTCTGTCTAGAGTTATAGGCATTTTTAGCGAAATTTTAGCCTTTGGCATGGTATATACGGATAAATCGAATGACTGTATTTCGACCTGAGATTTTGTCCACAGATAGATCTATTTGTGAGTAGAATATCCTGAAAATTTTAGCTCAAAAGAATGTTTTATTCCTGAGATATTAAAGTCCCAAAAAACAGTAAATTCTAGCATCTTTCGTGGGATATTATTGATTTTTGGGACTTTAATATCTCAGGAATAAAACATTCTTTTGAGCTGAAATTTTCAGCGTATTCTACTCACAAATAGATCTATGTGTGGGCAAAATCTTAGGTCGAAATACCATCATTTGATTTGTCGGTATTTACCATGCCAAAGGCTAAAATTTCGGTAAAATGCCTATAACTCTATACAGAAGGCCTAAGGGCACTTATTCTTCTGGGGTTTTTCATACGTTACTGGGATCTACCTTATGCATAGAGTCCGAACTCAAAAACGATGGGACACTTGGGAATGTTCCCTCGTTAGTGCGAAATGTCCGTCACTTCTATCTAATCACTTAGAGATTGCTTCAATAGGGTTTTTTTATGTTAAATCTATAAAATGATTTAATGTATTGAAAGGTCACTATAACTTCAAAATTAATTGTAAACTCTGTATGACTTAGAAATATTTTTAAATAGATTTTTTTTGTTTTTTGGATATTGATATATATCTATTAAATATCTTGTTTTTATAGAATATAATGAATTTACTGGTCAATGTTTTTGTTTATCAACATTAAATAATCAACATCATTTAATAATACCAAATCAAAAATGTACAAAAATAATTTTTAATAATAATAATGAAAAAAAAAATTTCACAACAATTTATCGAACTGGTTTTATTGATTTTGGAAATCATCTTGAAAAACGTCGTTCAATACAAAATCATAATCAAACAATTATTGTTTTTTTTTTAACAGTTGGTGGTCGAAAAAATCTTCGACAAATAAAACGATTAGTACGAGCTATTTATTTACGACAACATTATTATTTAATACATGTTGATAGCGTATGTATTTAAAAAACTGGAAAAAAATTTTTTTTTTTTTTTTTTTTTTTTCATATAAAAATATAATTAATTTTGTGTTAGTACAGCGTGAAAATTATTTATATGAAGAATTATTAAGATTATCAAAAAGAATTTCAAATATTCATTTAACTAATAAACGTTATCCAACAACATGGGGTGCATCAACATTATTAACAGCACATTTAGATGCATTTAAACAAATATTTAATGAATTAAAATGGAATTTTTCTTTTATACTTAATTTAAGTGAAACAGATTTTCCATTAAAGTAAAAAAAAAATTTTTTCTTATTAATAAAATTATTATTTATATTTTTCAAATAGACCTATTCAAGTTTTAACAACTTTTCTATCAATGTATACATCATATAATTTTCTTCGTTCACATAGTCGAGAACCATATAAGTATGTTTCATAATATTTTTAATTATAGATTTTTTATTAGTTTTTTTTTTTTTAATTTAAAGATTTATTAAATCTCAAGGATTATTTCATACATTTATTCATTGTAATGATTATATGTATCGTATTGATTCAAGATCATTAATTCAAAGTATAAATTAGAGAAGGAAAAAAAAAAAAAAAGAATTTTTTTCTTTTTTTTGTATTAAATTATATAATTTTTTTTGTTTTTAGATATTATTTATGATGGTGGATCTGATTGGTATGTATTAAATCGTGAATTTGTATATTATGTAACATATGGTAATGATGAACTTGTAAATGGTCTTCGACATACATTTAATTATTCATTATTACCTTGCGAAGTTTGTTTAAGAATTTAAATATAAAAAATAAAGTCTGTTTTTTTTAGAGTTTTTTTCATACTCTATTAAGTAATAGTATTTATTGTGATACATATATTCGAAATAATTTACGTCTTGTACATTGGAATCGAGAACGTGGATGTAAATGTCAACATAAAAATGTTGTAGATTGGTGTGGTTGTTCACCAATTATTTATAGAAATATTGATAAAATAATATTGAATGTAAGATTATTTTTAGTACATATTATATATTATTTTCATTTTTATATTATCAAATAGAATAGAAACAAATAATTCAACTTTTTATATAAATTGAAAACATAAAAGATTTATAAGATTTTAATAGATTTTGTTTTTCTTATCAATTAACACTAAAATATATTGAATTTTCGATATTGAGAGAGTGATAAATTCTAAAATATGTACTTGTTAAGTTTCAGAAGCTTTTCATAAGTAATAAAAATTTTCAACAACATGAGAAGTGTTTTTTTTTGATAACTAACAAAGTTCACTAGTACAATATTATATATTTATCGATATTAAGATCGATATAGGAATATAAGCATCAACTTATCTACTTCACAATGAATAGAATTAACTGACACGATTAGAAAATATATCAACATTGAAATGAGAATAGAAAAGAATCGAAGAATGATAATATTCATTAATTGATCCAATGAATTGAAAAACAAAACAACAAAAAGAAAAATTATGGTCTTCATATAGCATAATGCAATCAACTTATTTGATATTAGCTACAGTCATAGACAAAAGTTTAAAGGAAAATGTATTTTTCATTTTTTGCTATAATAACAAGTATCTACCTGAAATTCAAATAGTGATTCGGATAGTCAATGAAGAGCTCTATCAAATGCATCCGATACCAAAATTTCATAGATGATTTAAGGTAGCAAGGTTTCTAGAAAACCCAAAACCGTATTTTTCAGGTGTCAGAAGACTTTGCAATAATTCGTTTCTAACAGTACTAACTTAAAGAACACAAAATTCTGAAGAAAATGAAGGGTCGCTGCCTTTCCTTTCAAAAGTTATAAGTATCACAAAAATACGATTTTTAGCCGTTTCTTGATAAATTTCACTTTTTTTTCCAGTTTTTGTAATGCTTATAAATTTTGAAAGGAAAGGCGGTGACCCTTCATTTTATTCAAAATTTTGTGTTCTTTAGGTTGATACTGTTAGAAACGAATTATTGCAAAGTGTTCAAGACCTGAAAAATACGGTTTTAGGTTTTCTAGAAACTTTGCTATCTTAAATCATCTATGTAATTCTTGTATATGATGCATTTGATAGAGCTCTTCATTGGCTATCCGAATCACTATTCGAATTTCAGTTAGATACTTGTTATTATGGAAAAAAATCAAAAATACATTTTCGTTTAAACTTTTGTCTTTGACTATACTTCTGCAAGTAGTAAAAAAGTAATTTTTAGAATGTAGTTAGCTGCATCAAAAGCTTAAAGTTAGCTTTCTATTGTTTTTGTATGAATTATGATTTTAAGAAGATTTTCAAGATATAGGGTGTGAGTTTGAATGGAACGAAGACATCCATCACACCCAAAAGGTATAATGACTTTTGCGATCATCATTAAAGACTGATGAAACTTCCTTGGAGAAGTTATTTTCTTGATCCTCTACTCGGAGATACTCCTATCAATGTAATAAAAGATTTTTTAACCAGTATAACTAGATTTCAAATATAATTGAACTCTAAAAAAAACTTTATTTTGTGTTACATTAATATTTTCGTTTTTTTTTGTGATAGGAAACAATTGATAAACCTTTCTTTTTTGCTCGTAAATTTGATCCAACTATTGATGAAACAATTCTTGATTGGCTTGATGAAAAAATTTCAAGACGAAATTTATCGAATAGTAAAAAAACAAAAAATTTTAATTTTAATCTAATTAAAACAAAAAAAAAAACTTCTAAAAAAATTTTAGGTGCTTTTTATTTACAAAATATTTATCATATAAATTATGATCTAAATAATTTAAATAATGTATTAAAATTAATTGATTCATATGCACGTACAATACTTATTGATTATCAAGAACATCGACGTAATTGTTTTCATGATGATAATATTCAATTAGAACAAATTCATGCCATATTTCAATTAAGTTTATATCAAGGTTATTCATTACAATATAAATTTAATGATGGAGAACAAATTGAATTATTTATTCAATTAAATTCATTTACAACTATTAATTCAAAACAAATTAAAAGATTTGAAGTAAATTTTTTCTTTTACTAAAATAATTTATTAATATAAATTTAAATTTTCTTTAGATTGGTCAAGAATTAGATAGTAAAGAAATTATTTTTATTGATCGTAGTAGAACATTTATTGAACCAAAATTAGTCAAAGTTCTTATTGAATGGGAATCTATGACAGATAATGATACATCTTTAATTATTAATAGTCCTAATGGTATGATTATCTAATCTAAAAAAAAATATTTTGTATTACTTATTAGAATACTCATTCGATAATCAGAGATCACCTCAGTATTAGTTAAAAAATCATCTTATAAATATTTATTAAGATTATGTTTCAACAGATTAGTGAATTTTTCTAACAATATACTAAAAGATACAGTGAAACAATTGACCAGTTGGTGTATGACAGTATATCTACTATTTACGAGGGAACATTCCCAACTGTCACATCGCTTTTGAGTCGAGCGTATGCGCATCATGTAGGCCCTAATGATCTATGAATACTCTGAAAAAATTTCGTGCTGCTAGCTTATTACTACCTAGATATTGCATTTTTACTGTATGTTTAAGCAGCAAGCCGTGGTCCCCCTCAGGAATGCTAGGAAAACTGACTTTCGAATTTCAACTTGAAACTTTGCATAGAGATAGGCGTCAATGAGAATAGTTTATTCTGAAAATTTCAGATCTTTTGATTGTTCCCAGTCTGAAATAAGAATATCGGAATCTGCTGGTGTATATCAGCGATTTTACCATAGCTGTATCGTAGGATAGAAACAACGAAAAGATCTGAAACTTTCAAAATAAACCATTCTCATTGAGGCCTATCTCTGTGCAAAGTTTCAAGTTGAAATTCGAAAGTCAGTTTTCCTAGCGTTCCTGAGGGGGACCACGGCTTTCTGCTTAAACATACAGTAAAAATGCAATATCTAGGTAGTAATAAGCTAGCAGCACGAACTTTTTTCAGAGTATTCATAGATCATTAGAGCCTACATGATGCGCATAGGCTCGACTCAAAAGCAATGTGACAGTTGGGAATGCTCCCTCGTTAGTGGCGTACTCAGGATTTTTCAGTATGCTGGATCTCGACTTCTAAGCATGGGTCCCAAATGAAAGTCATGGGGGATGATGTTAGGCTCAAATGATGGAATTTTAACAAAAAAAAAATTGAACTCGAAGTTTGCGAAAAAAATTAGCATTTTCCTGGTCCCTCCCCCTTGGATTGTTTTTGCTGTTAGTAGTATCCTGATTTTTAGAGTTTCA